AATTTTCAATCTCACAAAGAAAAAAAAAAAAAAAAAAAAAAGAAAAAGAAAAGAAAAGAAATGCGTATTACGAATTTTCTCACGTCTCTCAACAATTCTTTATCCTCTTTAACAAGTTCGATTTTGTTTTAAAATAGCGTTTGTAAGAGAATGGCTTGTAGAATGATCCCGGAATCGGATAAAGTCGATATTAATAGAAAACGTGGAAAGTACGAATTAAGGGCCGAGTTTCGAAATTCGCGCGTGCCCGCTCGGTGCTCCAGATTTCCGGGAGCAAGCCGATTATTATCAAAGACGGATGGTGCCGCGACTAAAAGAGAATGTAGGACACGTCGAGTAAAATCGGTGATTACCTCAACAAAATTGATTTGCAAAAAAAATGCCAATGAATCAATCAAGGTGTGATGTTTTCTTTCCGCCGCTTTAAACACTTATCGTGCTTACACGCGTACGTGTTTCCTACACATATGCCTATGACACTCGAAATCAGGCCATTGAGCAAGAAATATTATGCGACCTCGCGCGTTTTTTTTCAGCACGTTTATCCTTCCAACAGTCTTACGTGAAAAGTGTAATTGATTAATGCATTTTTGCATTAAAGAATTCTTATAAGCGTGATCAGTGGGAATGCAACGCAAAGAGAAATTTGTTTCGTCGTAATAAATACTCTACACTATTTTAGAAACTATTCATACGAATGAAAAATAATCGTTTATATATATATATTTTTTTTTTTTTTGAATGCTCGTAACTTCACAAGAAAGAAATTGCATAGCACATTGCTAAGGTGGTGTTGTGAAGGAGAAACTTCAATCTTTGGGGCCGTGACGAATTTGTAGCAATCGTTACGAATCGGTAAAAGTAAATAACGAGAGATGATGGATGGTTTAAATAGAAGAATGAGACCGAGAGTAATCGTTCAGTGTGCCTTGCAACGAAAGGTGATTTTCATCGATCTCTTTATATAAGCAAGAAAAATCTTGGCTTTGTGGAGAAATTTTTCTCTAAGAATCGAAAATGCGATCGAACGTGTGTGTTTAAAACGCGCAAAGATTAAAATGCGATCGAATGTATTTTGATATATTTACAATCTATACCGATCCAAATTTTGGATACACTTGTGTCGTTTTACGATGCAAGTTTTAAAACTCGTAATCACTTGCAATGCTCGTTAATTAAGTTTAATTGTCTCAACACGCGTCATTCGTATTTTTGAGACTACAATTGTAAAGAATCTCGATGAAAGATTGTTTTATAGAAAGTGCTACACTTTCGATATTTTATTATATTATATAACAGACATAATTATATAAAAATAATAAAAAATAATATGAAAGTGCAAAAAATATAATAATTATATTATATTTCTTTTGTCACATACACTCCGTATAATTTTGCATTTTCTATAAATGTATAAAAATCCGCAGTGTAATGTATTATTGAGTAGGATTTCGAAATTTGTACTGCAGAATCACATTAAATGTTCAAAGCCGGCTTAGTGTAATTAGAAAGCTACGAGAAATGTTTCAGTGATTCATCGTATTAGGACTCAATAGTAATGATGTATTCTAATAATGATGTATTCTAATCTCAATAATAATTGATTTGACAAGTGATGGTGAATTGATTCGTTGTACAATACAGTTGGAAAAAATATACAGGAATTAACGTGTAACGAAAGATTAAACTGCGAAATACAAATGCAGTAAAAATATCCCTACTTGGAGCAATAGTGTCAACATAAATTTATTTTTGATTCGTTATAATGTAGTTCATAAATCACGAGATGTCTCAAAGTTGATAAGGAAGGAGAAAAACTAAATATTCTCACAGTATTCCGAAAGTATTGTTTTCCAAATGTTTCTCACGATATCTTACGTTTAAAAGTCAGCAAACGTCTCGCGATTGTTGATAAAAAGTACGTCCAAACTTTCGGTACTTCCTCTTTACTTTACCCATCTAGTAAAATTTCCAAATTGACATAAATGCTTGCGTTTGTTCGACCTTCGTTGCCACACGCGTAGAATATTAGATATTAAAAAGTCCGAAATAAAAAAAAAAAAGGAAAACAAGGGAGTGTTTGCGCCCGTCATCTCGCCTGTCGGAGACACGAAACAACGTTTCGAAGAATTGGAAACGTTCTAGGCGCGTGGAACGTATGCTGCACGTATGTAGCTATTGGCTCTTCAATTTCCCGTTCGCGAGATCCGACGACACGCCGTTTGCGTTGCTCTTCCGTTTCTTGATGTACGCCTTGTAATAAAAGTCGCCGAACATCATGATCATGAAGAGATTCTGAGGGATCATCACCGCCGCGGTCCACTTCGGGAAGCCGCAGTCCTCCGCCCAGACCAACAGTATAAAGTGAACCATTATCATGCAGAACTGAGTGAGCTGCAGCTGCGTCACGTATTTCTTCCACCAGGGTTTGCTTATTCGTAGCGAGGTGGCCAAATAGTGGGTGTACATCACCACGTGAACGAAGGAGTTGATAGTACCTGGTGACAACACAGAATTCATTCGTTTGACGTCGTGCATATTTCACGATGCATCCTTGATCTTTTCGAGTAACGATTTTTTTCGTAAGTCGTTCCTTCTAAAGGCAAAACAATAACAAAGCTAAATGCACCATCATTTACTAACGCGGTGCAATGTCGTCATTCGTGATTCTACCGATGTATTTTAAATTTTTAACTATATTAACGTTGGCCGAGAGAAACGAAGGAATTGTCAGCGTGAATAGGAATCTTATGAATAGGTTGCTTTTCAACATGATTGATTTATCATAGCGTTAACGGATTCATCGTGCGTGTTTGCTACAGGTCAGCTGACTCTTGCCATAAATGAACAAGTTGTTACGTGGCTACTGATTAGAATGTGAAAAGCGAGCTAAAAAGGATTTTAAAAATCAATTGCGCCAAATGGTGTCGTAGAGTAAATTTAAAGAAAATTAGTACGAAAGTAACAGCCGTTGTGTTGTACTAAACTGCTCACCTAAAAAGGTAATGTGACCGCCAGGCAAGAATTTGGTGACTACCCAAGTACCGAATGTCATGCCTGTGTGATGATAAACGTGAAGGAACGACACTTGCTGCTGCTTTTTCCGAAGGACGAAGAAGACCGTGTCCACCAAGTCGAACACCTTCATCAGGAAGTACAACCAAACCATCCTGGTTATCTGCGATTCAAGTGCGTATATTTAATTTCGGAATTTTGATGAGAATACATAGACCGACGATGTTTGTGTGTTTACGAAAAAAATTCGAACTGTGCGTACATTTTCGTGAGAAAGACATGTTACAAATAGAATTAAACGTAAAACTATCAAAGTATCAAACAAGTGGGTGAAACTTTCGATTAGTTTTCATTTTTCAATTTTTTTAACTTCAGTAATGATAGAAATAGAAAGACAGAAATGCAAGTATCCACAAACGTCCGTGGTCTACAATAGAATGTCATTCGCATCCGAATTTTGTACCATGTTCTGTAATCAAAACAAAATGCATGTAATAACATTCTGACGGTACATATTAAATTTGCAAAAAATGTACTTATTAAAATTATAAAGGTACATGATGGGGGGATTTTACTATGAAACGCGCTTCGAACACTACTGTTTCGAACGTGCATTTAACAGATAGAATAAGCTTCGTTCGTGAATAAAATAGGAGATATAAAAAAACGCGCAAACCGAAACGACACGTGAAAATAATGAAGAATGTGCACTTTTATGCTGAAAAGAATTTGAAGAAAATTTCCAATTGTAATATCGAAAAATTATATATATATATATATAATATAAAAAATTATATATATTATAATTATATTATATATATAAAATTATATATTATGTTATAATTATATTATATAATTAATATATATAATTATATATTATACTATATTATATTATATATATAATATATATAATTATATATTATATATATTTTATTATAATTATAATATATAATAATAATAATAATATTAAAATATTAAATAATTATATATAAATGTATATTATATATATAAAATTATATATTATATATATTATATTATAATTATAATATATTATAATAATAATAATATTAAAATATTATATTATATTATAATAATTATATATAAATGTATATTATATATAATATATATAATTTATATAATATAATATATAATAAATAATATAATATAATAGATATAAATGACATATATATATATATATGTAGCAATCAAAAGATACATTGAAACGAATTGATCACCTTACCGTCCATTTAAATAAATGAAATCTAACATTTGATTTGAAGATCATTCTATGATTCGAAAAACTACTCGTTTCGTTATGTCGGCTCGGATATCGGTAGCTCCATTGTATCTAAAAGGTAAAAATGGGTTGCACGTGTACCTCGATCGCGCGAGGATCGTTCGAAAAATCCACTGGCTCGCAGTAAAAACTGTAATGGTACAACCAGGCCAGAGTCAACGCCTAAAATCACATTCGCACGTTTATAATTACACCTCGACGTTTCGAATATCACTTCTTCGTATAGTGGAAAAAGAATGAGCATCCGCTGATTTACCTTATAGAATAAATATGAGCACGATATTATCTGTATTAGATCGTATATCTGTATGATTCTATTCAGATTGAAGGGTTTCCTCTTTGCCATGATGTTGGGCCCCAGGTCTTGCACGAAGTACAGATAAAACGCTATTATACTGAAGCAACCCCATGGTGATCCGATGAGGAAGTAGTCCTGGGTCCGAGGATCTTGCGGAAACAAGGATACATTCGCGTGACTAATTTACGTAAAACAGGCAGAGGCAATTCGTCTCGTTACCTGACAATTCCTCGTTAATGTAACGATAACCGTGATAAATCCGTCGTATCAGCGTCGCCATGCTGCTGTCACTGAATATCTGACAAAGATCCCGACTAACGATCTCTCACAAAAGGTTTCATAAGATCGACAATGGACGATCCTCTGGTGAAACTGGGGTAGAAAGAAGTCGAACCTTGGTGCCCCTCTCTTCCGGAGGAGGATGTTATTCTTTCTAAAATGGGATTGGCTACCTTTCAATTCTCAGCCAATCTCGCGGTCGAATCTTTACGGTCGAATTTCATGAACCACGGACGAAGGCGCGAAAGTGAAAAAAAAAAGTAGAGAAAAGGAAGAAAAAAAAAGAAGAATGAAACGAGAGGGTAAAACGTGGACAAAAAAGTGTTGATAGGTGAATTTTAGCGAGTTCTTCTCTTCTAACGAAGTATATTCTTTTGGATCTGTGGTTTTTCGATCGATCAATCGTCAGAGTAACCACTCAGAGTCTTCCGATTCAACTAAACCCCGCGAAAAATGGCAGCAGACTGATGGAAGCCATTCCCCCCAGCCAAAAACTTTCTCGAGTCGAACAGTCATTGTATTTTAATTAATCGCTGGTGGGTAGCCACTGTGGACGCTGTTTCCCTTCCCTTCGAAGGTGGTACGATCTCACTTCAGCCTGAGCGCGAAATAAGTAAGTTTCCAAGTAAGATTTTCTAGAAAGATTTGACAAGTTATAACTCTACGAGTCAACTCCGTGCTGATTTAACGGAGAACTAGAATTATTATTACACAATATTGCTCAATACAATAGGAATTGTTCAATAACCTGTTGATCCTTACATTTTTATTCACTATGTTTCATTCAAGATCAATGGATTAGAGATTAGAAGTGTTAATGCGAATCATCAAAATATGAAGTAGCTGCCAGCGGCTGTTTTCTAGATACGCATTTTTCTTTCTTCGTCGATATTGCAAAGGAAATCTTTCGTTTAAAATTTAATGGCTAAGTAATAGCTAGTAACTTTTTCCACCAAAGAAAAATTTTATTTTTATTTAAGATGAAGATCTTGTCATATGTGAATAGCGGATGAAAGCTAATGAAAAATAATTTATGTATAATTACGTATAATACGTATAATAATACAAATAAAAAAAAATATATATATATATAAATGCCTTTACGTATAATAATACAAATAAATATATCCACCGATATAAAGATAACTTATATATAATTTATGTACGATATATAAATATATCGTTATAAATATGATATAATAATGTAGAATATTATTTCATGTATTGTACAAAGATATATTTGATAACTGGAGGCAACATTAGATTAGACTCTACATTAATAAAATTTTCGCGAAGTTTCATAAAAAAAACATAAATTAATAAAGCATACATGTGTTTCTCGTAATCACGATTTGTATGATACAATAAGTAGAGTAATAACAGATTTATGATATTCCGGTAAAGAAAAAATAGGTATGAATTACGCGACTGTTTCTGACGATCTCTTTTCATAATCGAGTTGACGCTCGTGTAGCAGAGTTTCCGTTCAAACGTGCTTAAGAAAGAAAGAAAAATATAATATTCATTCGACGGGACAAAATGTGACGTTTCACGAATAGTAATTTACTAGCTTTTACTTCCAGAAACACTTTTGTGACATATTGAAAGAAAATTAATATTAATTATCTATTAAGCATTTATTAGCATTAATAAATATATAATTATAACGCGCCATTACGCCAACGTTTTTTTTTTTTTTTTCCACGTCACTCTGACACGAATATTGCTTTCATCTACGTAATAGTCTTTTCCAGGCAATTCTCATTTGTAGGTATACGTCTACTATAAATGACGCTCGATATCTTTTATTCTTATCTGAAACCGCGACTACGGTATCAATGACAAAGTCGATTGTCGAAAACAGTAACGAAACATCTCCAATGGAAATCTATTATACGTAATCACATTTCACTTGCTAATCAAGCGCATGAAAAATCGATAATGACCGTGGCCTTGCGTGACCCAGCAGACTGAAATCTAATTCGAAAGATCTTTGACTCACAAGTGAATTGCTTTTTAAATATTCTCGCGAAACACAAAGAACTTTCCCATCGGGAACTTCAACGAAGAATGTTTTATGAACTGCTTTGACACGTTACATGCATTTTAATTTAATAGACGCATTCGCAAATCTTCACTCGTTCCTTGCGTCAATTTGGCAAAGTTCTTCTTCTGAAATATTGGCGGCGAGGCTCTGTGATACCTGTCTTTTAAAAATCTATTCTGTCCACTCTGTTCTATCTGTTTTTTTCTATACTTCTTCATATATTTTCCACATTTTTCATCAGCGAAAAGTTGCAAACAACGTTCGTCCTTTGACAGGCAATACATTGCCTTCGGTGAATCGCGAGACAAAACCAGAGGAGATTCGATTGAATAGAAATTTAGTTGGTTTATTGTTATTGAAAAGAACTTACAAGTTTAGCTATTTTTCCATTCGTCGCTATCGCGTCGATTTGACGATAAAAGGACGAATTAAGTTGGAAAGAGGGTTAAACTTACATATACATGTACATTAGAAACGGAATTTATTCAGATAAATTATACAATTGAGCAGGTCTCGCAAGTAATCGACTCGTGATTGACACGTGCACAGTACATTGTGTATAATTTCTAGAAATGACAATGTGTAGATGAATGGCATTTTAAAGCGGATGAAGAGGTCCCGCGGGTTCTACGGTCGTGACCCTTAACGACAAAAGGACATTGACCAGAATACAATCAAAGTTTCAATGGCCTTCAACGTCTGTTTCCTCCATTTCAAACTCGTTTTCGAAACGATGATAATAAGCACTCATTGGGGAAGAAAAATTAAAAAGATCTGCTGTGTAAATTGGAATCAATGGAGAAAGAACGTAGAACTTATTTTCAAAACAGATATATAATTTCCAATGTGAATATTCTTTCGTATAAATACTTGCAAATGTATAATCGCATGGACGATTCTTCAACTCATCATTCGTTTTCTAATTCAATGTAAACACAGTCTGTAAAATTTGACACGCTTATTGCTATAATATATGCGAGGCAATTTTTATTTGTTCTTTAAGTATGTAAATTATTTTACACCAATTATAACTTAGTTGCAATTATTTTCAATTTAAACTTTGATTTGTATTTAATACATTGTGCTTTGGTTTACTTTCCATTTGTTTTTGCTTAAAACTCTTTTCGCTGTTCGTTTGCACAATGATGGGAAATTGTGAATATTTTACTTAATCGTATATCAAAAGTATATCATTCTTTTTTTTTTTCTTTATTTAATAAGTTTGTTTCAAAGTAAAAGAAGGTTAAGGTAAGGTAAAGAACTAATATTTGGATTCGTAAAACACGAATAGAGCTCTTTCTGACACACACACATACATACATATGTAAATATAATAAAAAATTCAATAATTTTAAATACTAATCTCGTGTTTTGGAATCTGAAGATACAATTAAACATTTTGCTTGTATCATTTTACTTGATACACCGACGAGCATTGCATTTCGGTATTGAAAATTGGCAACACTGTAATGGTTCTCAAAAAATCATGTTGCTGACAAATTCACTAGTTCTCCAACTCACCGTTGTTTAGCCTAGAGTGCGCTATCGATGATTTTCTACTATGTCGGTATTTCAGGTTACGAAAGTCCGTAAGACGCAATGTCTATTCATATACCTCGTCTGTGTCATAATCATTTTATCGCAACCATCTTGCATTGCCGGATCTATCGAACGCGGAACTGTGCCAGAGAATCTTGTCCGATCGTGAATATTCTCTGTATCAGATTATTTGTAAAAATAAAACTTCTACGGAGTTAATCCTTTGTAGAACGGTATTGTAGGAAACGTTCATACCTACACATGGTGCAGCAGAATTTATATGGATGCGTTTATGATAGAAGTAGGTTAATGGTGATAAGGTTAAGGTAAAGTTATAAAGGATATTGCAGCAGAAAACTCTACTGAGTGCATGGAACATGCACTGGAGATATGTTTTGCCTTTACGGTGCAACGAGAAACTCTTGCACGAGCCATAGGAGGAGACTTCTCTCCGTCAGCGATAGTGAAGCTTGTTAGTGATACACAGAGGAATGCGGTCATCACGTATTCCGAAGCAGTGATGACTATCGAGAAAATGAATGAAAGAAGTTGGAAAAAAACAAATCCGGCGAGACAAGCTAGACGTCGTGACAAGAGAGCTGTGGCTCCCAACTGAAGACGAAGGGTAAGGTCCGACTGAAGACCTTGCAGCACCTACAGGGTTTTTATCCAAGTAGAAAGAGGAATGAAGAAAAACGAAGAAAGAAGAGAAGAGGAGTCGTGAAGATCAAAGGCATATTGGGGAGTTCTGCGGCGAAATCCAGTGGAGAATCCTGGGGCTTCCCAGAACGCAAAATGTAGGGTCACCGTGGAGGTTTTAGTCGGTAAAAATCCGACACTACCCGGCTCTCTCCCTCGAGGGAGCTGGGTGTCTTTTGAAGATTTCCTCCACGTAAAAAAAAAAAAAAAAAAAAAAAAAAACAGGGTAAGTATAATAACAATAACGATATAAGCATGGAGGGTCACACATTCTAGAGGTATTATGCACGCTGCAGGCTTAACCAGAAAATGACACTTGATCGTAATCTAAGCAACATCGACTCGCAGCTTGTAATATCATCTTGGAAACAAGTATATTTTGTCTGCAAAGCGAAATTTCAAAATTGTCAAAATTCCACTTGCAAATTTTCGAAAATTTTTCAAAACGTAGTGTGTTTACACCAATAAAATCTAAATAAACATTGGAAACCAAAACAAACAATCAAAAAAAAAGTAAATAAACATTGAGACCCAAATAAACAGACCAGTGTTTGCAAACAAAGCGAAATTTCAAAGTTTTCGAAATTCCGATTTCAAATTTTCGAAAATTTTTCAAAACAAAGTATGTTTACACAAAAAAAATGTAAATAAACATTGGAAACCAAAACAAACAATCAAAAAAATGTAAATAAACATTGGGAACCAAAATAAACAGACTAATGTTTGCAAACAAAGCGAAATTACAAAGTTTTCGAAATTTAGATTTCAAATTTTCGAAAATTTTTCAAAACAAAGTGTGTTTACACCAAAAAAATGTAAATAAACATTGGAAACCAAAACAAACAATCAAAAAAAAGTAAATAAACATTAGGAACCAAAATAAACAGACCAGTGTTTGCAAACAAAGCGAAATTTCAAAGTTTTCGAAATTTAGATTTCAAATTTTCGAAAATTTTTCAAAACAAAGTGTGTTTACATCAAAAAAAAGTAAATAAACATTGGAAACCAAAACAAACAATCAAAAAAATGTAAATAAACATTGGGAACCAAAATAAACAGACCAGTGTTTGCAAACAAAGCGAAATTTCAAAGTTTTCGAAATTCCGATTTCAAATTTTCGAAAATTTTTCAAAACAAAGT